CGCATGCGTGTGGGTGCGTGTGAGTACACACGTGTGTGCACATGTGTGCATGTGAGTGTGTGTGTGTGTGTGTGGTGAGCTGGTTGTTTCTTTTCAATCTCCTGCTGGGATGATGGTCCTTTCTTCACTGAATTGTCCTGGCAGCTGTGTTGAAAACGGGTTGGTCACGTGTGTGGAGGTGGAGGGGAGAGTTTGGGGACACCTCATCCCGTGCCCTTGATTCCTCTGCTCATCCCCAGGCCCCTTCCATGCCATCTCGGGGCCCGCCACCTGAAATTTAGCTCTTCCTGAGCTGTGAGTCGCTGATTTCGCGCAGGGCAGCGTGTCTCGGTGGTGCCTCCAGCTGGTTTCCTGCTCCCTGGCCAGGCTTCCCCGTTCCTTCTGGTGCTTCTTCTCTTCGACCATTTGGCTTTTTCCTCCTTCTGGGAGCGCCTCTGATCTGCGCGTGTCCTCTTCCTTCTTCCCCCGTACTTCTTCCTCGCTGCTGGGGGCCTCAGGTGCAGCCACCCAGTCTTGTCATCTAACGCCGGCAAGGTCCTCTGCCTCCTGAGGGAAGCGCTTCTGGAATGTTCTTTGCATCTTGTCACCCGCCAAGGCAGCTCTCGTGCTGTCAGTTCTGTGGACTCTCCCTACAGATGGGATGGCCCCTGGGGCCCGGAGAGACAGGACAGCAGGTAGGATGCTTGCCTTGATCCGGGGCGTGCCATGTGGTCCCCCCAGCCCCTCCAGGAGCGACCCCTGAGCCTCGCCAGATGTGGCCAAACTACAGGCGGGTGCTGGGACCACGGTGCCCTCCCTGGCCCGGGGCCAGCCCTGTACTGCTCCTCCCCTTGGCCCTGGATGTCAGGGGCCGAGGGGCCTTCAGGCTGGACCCTGCATCCTAGCTGAGTGGCTGTAGGGTTGCCCAAGGGCCGAGACAGTCGGGGACAGGCTGCTTGGGGCCTGGCCTGCCGCTCTGCCGGTGCCACCTCTTCTCAGAGGGCCGCGTTTCCCGCTCCGTCAGACGGGTAATTCCGCCAGTCCCAAGAGTCGCCGCGAGGACACGGCAAGGTGACGTCTGTGAAGGACCCAGCCTGTGCCTGCCGTTCAGGGGGAGGGATCCCCCACACTCCCAGGAACCAGAACCTACCCTGTCACTCTCCTCCGCTGCTGTGTGACATGGGTGCCCGGGGGCTTCTCCTGCAGCAGGTGTGACTTCTCCACTCAGCCACAGCTGATCTGCCTCATTAACTGAGCGCAACCAGGCCTCTGTGCCTGCCGCTCGCCGCTCCTGCTCCCTGCTCCCTGCTTCCTCCTTCCTCCCCTCTGCTCCCTCCTCCCTTCTCCCTCCTTCCCGGTCTCTCCTTCCTCCCTCCTCCATGCTCCCTCCTCCCTGCTTCTTCCTCCCTCCTCTCTGCACCCTCCTCCCCGCTCCCTCCTCTCTCTTCCTTGCACTCTCCTCCCTGCTTCCTCCTCCCTCCTTCCTCCCATCACCCTCCTCCCTGCTTCTTCCTCCCTCCTCTCTGCACCCTCCTCCCTGCTCCCTCCTCTTTCCTCCTTGCACTCTCCTCCCTGCTTCCTCCTCCCTCCTTCCTCCCATCACCCTCCTCCCTGCTTCTTCCTCCCTACTCTCTGCACCCTCCTCCCTGCTTCCTGCTCCCTCCTCCCTGCTCCCTGCTCACTGCTCCCTGCATCCTCCCCCCTGCTTCCTGCTCCCTCCTCCCTACTCCCTGCTCTCTCCTCCCTGCTCCCTCATCCCTGCTTACTGCTCCTTCCCTCCTGAGAATGAAGTGGCTCTGGGCACAGGTTCACCCAGAGCTTGAGAATCTGCATCTCCTTGGGAGCTCTACCCCACCCCGCCGCCCCGTCCCCACCGTGGTGGTCTGAGCCCTTTCCTCTCTGGGCGCCCTCCACACTTAGGTCAGAACCCATAGCTGGAGTCTGGGCTCACTTGATTCCACCCGTTAGATCCTGCAGAGCGTCTTGCGTGAGAGTCAGGCCTGCAGCTCGACTTAGGCACCTGCGCGGCATCTGTCGTGCGGGGCTGGGATCAGGAATGGGGAATCAGGGCCAGCCGTCAGGAATCGAGAATCAGGGTTGGAAGTTAGGACCAGGAATCGCACCAGGAATTAGGGTTGGGGATTGGGACCGGGGACTGGGAATCAGGCCCTGGCATTAGAATCAGAAATTGGGATGTGGAATTGGGATTGGGAAATCAGGACTCAGGATCGGGAACCAGAAGGCGGGAGCAACCTTTTCTTTAGTGTGGTTTCCCGCTGGCCACTGCCCGCTCCCTGCAGCCCACCACGCAGGACCCAACTGCCGCTGGCCCTCCCACTGTGGGGACTCCTGCCCCAGCCCCCAGGCCAGGGAACAGTGGACCCAGCCTTCTGGACCTGGGTTCTGCCTCCGCAGGCTCAGGAAGAGTTCTGCCAAGGTTGGGTTGCTCAGTGGAGCTGAAGAGGAATTTGGAGAGAAGGTCCGGAACGGGGGGTGGGGGGGGGGTAGTCCTAGGGAGAGAGCACTGAGGAGAAGGAATCGGGTGGAGAACTGGGCCACGGGGCAGACCCCTCAGGCTTCCTCTCTCCCCTGTGGGTGGCATATGCACACCTTGGAGCAGGGAAATCAGGGAGGGGGACTGGAGGAAGTGACCCAGGGCAGAGTGAGAGAATTGGGCCTGGACCCCAGTGGCAACAATGGCCTTCAAAGGGCCCAGAGGCGGCTCCCAGGGCCTGGGCCCCAGCTGTACAGGCTGAATCCCACCTCTGCCGTCCCCAAGCACTGCAGGGTGAGCCCTGAGCACCTTGGAGCACCAGGTTCTTCTTACAAAGGGGCTGGAGGGACTTTTCTGGCAGCCAGAGCTGCAGGGCCCAAGAGGCCTCACCCTCTGCGGGTCCAAGGGTGCAGCACCTGGACAGTTGTGGCCTAGCATGCTCCAGGGGCTCCCCGGGGGGATTCTGGCCTCCTCCTGGTTGGTTTTGTCACTCTCCCACCAGCAGGCAGTCTCTGAGAAATTATAAGTTGGATCTTGTCACCTTTCCATCTAGAAATGCTGCAGGGTTAAGTGCTCTACTGCCCCGTGGCCCCGGGTCTGAGGCCGGCGAGGCTTCTCCTCCCTGCCCCAGTCCTCTGGCCCTGCCCACCCTCACTTAACCGCTGCCGCTGCTGCCTTCTCCTCCAGGAAGCCTTCCAGAATGCCCCATGCCTCAGCCTGTCTCCCGTGTGGTGAGCCTCTGATTCCACAGCACCTTCCCCTGCCCCCTGCTGCAGGGTGAGCTCTGCCAGGGGAGGGCCCCATCACCCTGTATGGTCTCTCACCAGACACCCACCTCTGCCCACACTTGTAGGGGGCAGTTGGCCCAGACCCGGGTCTCGTTTCCCCATCGCTGCACCTTGTTTGGGGGCCATTCGGGTGTAGCAGCCCTGAGGCCTAATGGTACCCCCAGAAGCCCTTCATGGGGTTGGGGGGCAGTCTATGCAGCCTGAGTCAGCCCTGAACCTCCGCTCTCACCTTCTTAAAGTTCTGGGTGGGGGCTTGATCCTGGTTCCCCCCACCTGTGTCACTCGGGATGCCCCCACCTCCACCACTGCGCATGGGGGACGCCACCCTGATGTGCCGTGAGGATGAGGTCTAGGGGTTAGGAGCTGGAGGGAGGAAGGGAAGAGGAGTTCCAAGCAGGGCAGCTGTCGGGACAGAGGAATCACGGCTGGGGACCCCATCCGTGGCCACTCCCCACCCTTCTGGGTTCCCGGACCTGTCAGCAGGGTCAGAGTCACATGGCAGCACCCCCTCCCCCCCCCCCCGACACACACACACACCAGGAGCCCGCGCTGCTCACAAGTTCCCTGAGGGCCCTGGGGGCCATGTAGCTTGGGACCCTCTCGCCTCATTGATGAGACCCAGACCTCCCAGTGCCCCCTGACCTCCTCCGGGGAGAGGCCACTCAGAGCCCCCGCCCCACCAGCTGAGGTCATGCTCCTCCTTCCTCTTCCACTTTGCTCTGGCATTTCTTCCCCTTGGTGTCTGTCCGTGGTGAGAGTCGCTGACCAGCAAGCCCGGAGAAGTGGCCATGCGTGGACGTGGGCGCCCGTCTCTGTGCTGGGGTCTGCTAACCAAGAAAGACCCCTGGCTGCACCATGGCCCAGACTCACACCTCCCCACCCCGCCCTCACTGTGCCCTCTCTGCAGCTCCGTGCCCCTGACACCTCCCCTCCTGGCAGGCGCCAGCTCGCAGCTGTCCGTGTGGGCCGCGGAACGCTGCTCGTGAGGACCCTGAGCTTCCTGGGGCCATGAACTCCCACGGCTGAGTGTGGCCAGAACCAGCCACCGGGACATTTCCGAGCAGCCTGCAGCTGCCCCTCACGCTTGCTGCTCTTTCCCCCAGGCCTCCAGGGCCTGGGCTGTTCTCCCTCTTTTTAAATCCCCCCCTCCCCGTGCCCCTCTTTGCCACTGTGCCACCCCCGAGCAGGTTACACTTGGTCCCCACTCCGTCCCGGGGGTTTCCATCAGCGACTCCTGCACCGTTCCGGGGGCTGCCGGGCCCTCCCCCAGCGCTTCCCCCTGAGCCACTCTTACCGTAGAGTTCCACGGGGACCTGGGGGGCTGTGGGAACCCCACCATTCGGCACTGCGTGCTGTTCCATGGGTTTCTGAACACGTCTGGCACCCACAGTGCTCAGGGTGGTGGCCCTCAGCTGGGTGCAGATGGTCGCCGAGCTTGTGGGCAGAACCCCCTGAGCCGTGACCCATGTCAGCGCCTTGGCTCGCATTGGTGCATCTGGAGCGGGGGGCACTGAGGTTCATGCTCCCTGGACATCCCAGAGACTCGGCCGCCCCCTCTCCCTCCCTCTTGGCTGGTTAAAGCAGGGGTAGGATGGGCGGCCAGCGACCCTCTCAGCCCTCCAGGAGGCCTCGAGGCTAGTGGCACCACCCATCCGACTTGTGCTGCTCACGAGCAGTGCCTTGAGTCCCGGGGGTGGTCTGGGACCCCCGGTAACCTCTCCCTCCTCATCTCCATCCAGGCACATCTCGCTCACGCTCCCCGCCACCTTCCGAGGCCGGAACAGCACGCGGGCGGACTACGAGTACCAGCACTCTAACCTCTACGCGATATCAGGTAGGTGGCATGGCCGTGCCGTCCCCCCCTCGCCGGTTCCTGTGGTTTGCGGGGCCTGGTGCAGGGCAAGCTGTCCCTCCCCACAGCCCCTCACGTCCCCAGAGCCGGGGGGTGGACACTCTCCTCACTCGTCACCCGGGGGCCGGGGAAGCATCCACAGTTCCATGCATTGCATGGAATTGAGATTCGTTCAGTGCCAGGGAAACCCACAGACCTGGCCCCCCAGCCCCCAGTTCGGGTGTTTGTCCCTAAGGGGAAGTGGCAAATCGGTGTCCCTTAGCCGCGCACGTCCCTAATGCTGAGTGACACTGGGAACGCAGGGACATGGCACCCACTCATGTACCATAATGAACCCGTTATTTAAAAGGTGATCTTTGTCGTTCTCTCTCTCTCTCTCTGTCTCTCTCTCTCTCTCTCTCTCTGAAAATTGCAACTTCGTGTTACTAAGTAGATGAAATGGAACAATGGGATAATTCGTGTCACTATTAGTTTTTCTTGTTATGATCACTCCCTAATAGGTTTGGAAGCCGAAACAAGGGCCGCTGCTCTGCTTCTGAAGGGAGGGTGTGTGTGGGGGGAGGGGGGGGGGCGGGGTCACACTCTGCTCTCGGGGCGGGGCGGACACTGCTCCACGGTCCTGAGGCCGGGTCAGCAAGGGAGGATGGGGCTGGGGGCGCTAACCAGTGTTAACCCGGGTCACTGGGTTTGTGTGAGTGGCAGCCACCCCCAGCGCTCAGTGACTGACTGGTGCCAGCCGGTCTGGGGGACCCAGCAGGGTAACCCCACTCTGCACCGTGCCAGCCAGGCCCTCCCGCCACCCCCACTCCGCTTCACCTGGGCACGCCTGCATACCCCAGCCACCCCCCGTGGCTTCACCAGCTGTGGCTGCGGCTGCTTCCGTGGGAAGGTGTGACTCCCGCGGCCTGGCACGGGGAACCTTCCTGCGGCATTGTCTGGGTTCATTCGGGCTGTCAGTGGAGCAGTGCTGAGGTAACAGCCTCAGGGGCCCAGGGGAGGCCGTTCCGAACCCCCCGCCCCGCTGCCCCCCGCATGTGCGCCGCAGAACTGGATTGCATCTTCCTGGCAGAGGGGCGGAGGCAGTGGCCCCGAGGCTGCCTGACCGTGAGGCCGCAGGCTGCACCCTGCAGTGCCCGCTGGCTCGGGCAGGCCTGCAAGCTCAGCACTCGCACCCACGCTGTGGCCGGGAAGCCCGCCCATGCCAGGCGGGGCAGAGACCCCCACTTCCCAGTGCCTGGCAGAGCTTGGCACTCGGCAGCCCACCTCGGTCTGAGTCTTGGAAGCTCGGATCCCGAGGCATTGTTCTTAACGGGCGAAGGCCCACTGTGCCCCTGGCCCGGTGCCAGATGCCACACTCACCTGTGCCCACAGCCTTTGCAGCCAGCCACTGCACCTCCTGTGCAACAGGTTCCCGTGGGCCAAGAGGCGCCCTTGTCGTGGCTCGCAGGCACACCTCCCCCGTGTCCTCGCCATGGTCCCCATCTGTGGCGGAGCCTTCTCCTGAGTGGTGGTGAGGATTTGGGAAGCAGCCCGGGTGCGTGTGAACGTGGCCCCTAATGGGATGTGATGGAAAGTTCCCCGGGGGCTCCTGGTGATGGCCCTTCTCCCGGCCTTTCATTGCAGTGGTGGGCCCAACCCCAGCACACAGGGTTACCCACAGGGCCTGTGGGATGGAGGCAGGTAGACATTGACCCTGGAGGCCAGGCTCTTCCTGTCCATGGTCTGCACTGGCTTTGCCCTCTTCAGAAGCAGGTGGGGGGGAACTTCTGTGCCGTCGTGAGGCTCCCGGGTCCCTGCTGCCCCCGGGTGCCCCAAGCCAAGGATCACATGACACTCCACCTTCTGGTGTATTCTTCTGGAAAGAAGCTGCGGAGATTTGCACACCTAGATGGCCCCGATGCCCTCTGAGGAGCTCGCGCCCGAGCACGGCCTGCCGCTGACACGGCCCGGTTTCAAGGCCCTGGCCCAGAAAATGAAAGCGTAAAACCTCCCGAAGGAGCGGGTAGGGCCAGTCTCCCTGCCTCCAGGCAGGGCAGCAGGGTGGGGGGACATCTGCTCAGTGGCATGGCCCCCACCTGGCGGGCGCCGGAAGCTGAGGATTCCCGGGGGTTAGTAGACATATTTGCAATCTGCGTCATCCAGTCAGGACAGCGGGGCCCAGAGAGGACTTGAGGGTTGGGTCCGGCACCACCCCCAGCATTACTGGGGGGAGGGGACCCTAAAAGCCACGGCCTTCCACTTGTCTGCAGCGTCTCGCTGTGCTGTGTCCCGGGGCAGGCTTCCTGACCTGTGGCCTGCGGTCGCCCTGAACACTCCCCACCTCCCCCACCACCCACGAGGCACTTCCCTCCGCTGCCCTCGCCACCCCTGTATGGGGATATGGTGGTCTTCCCTCCCTAGACCCCAGAAGCCACTGACCCAGCTCTTGCTGTCCGCCCCATCCCCCCACTGCACCCCAACCTCCACCCATGATGTAGGGTTGCACCTTGGGCCTCAGGGTGGTTCTCCTGCAGCCTGGTGGGCCGGGACGGCGGTCAGCGTAGATTTGAACCACAGAAACATTTTACAGGAAACCCTGAGTTTCTTGCAGCAGGAAGCGACACGGAGGTGGGATTTCAGTGATCCTGGGCTGATGTGATGTCTCCTTTGCACCAGCCATGCTTGTCCCTGTACACCGCAATGCAGACCCCCCCACAACCCCCACCCTCCGCACCCTCAGAACCTGCAGTGTCCACAGCTTCTGCTTCCCTGCAGACCCAGAGGCGGGGAACTGCCCCTGAGTCCTCTCTGAGGGTGGTTGCAGGCCTCAGCCTCCTCGGGGATGAGGGCGTCCCTGGAGGTGCCTCTGGGTCTCTGAACTCTCTTCCAGCCCCTCCCCCCGCCCCCGCAACCGCCCCCCGGCCATGCCTTCATTGTCTGTGTGGCTCAGGGCCAGGATGCTGTCCACTGTCTCAGGGACAGAGGGGGGATAGCCCGCTGTTCTCCAGGGAGCCACCTGAGGGATCCGCCCTCTCAGAGAAGGCCGGGAGACAGGAACTCCGCCCGGAGCTTCAGTGAGAAGCTTCCCAAAGGTTCTGTGGCCCCAGGACTGCAGGCCTTGGGGTGTCGGGATGAATGACACCCTGGGCCCGCAGACAGACCTGGGCCAACAGGAAGGCCGGGCCTCACCGAGGATAGCTCTCCGGGAAAGGGTGGCCACAGATGTGGAATCCAGGCTGAGCCGGGCTTCATTTTTGGTCCCAGTGGCAAGAAACCAATTTCCAGCTCCAACTGTGGGCTTTTTAACCAAAGAAACAAGTTTCTCTCCCTGCTAGGGTGGAGAGGAATTGACTACACCCGCACACTCACACAAAGCTGGCACCGGAGCCAGAGCCCAGCGGGGTGGGTGCTCGCCTTGCACATGGCCAATCTGGGTTCGGTCCCTGGCATCCTGCAGGGTACCCCGAGCACCACCAGGAGTCATTCCTGAGTGCAGATCCAGGAGGAACCCCTGTGCATTGCCAGGTGTGGCCCCAAACAAAAACAAAAAAAAAAAACTGGCACGGAATGAAACCGAGAACTGCAGGCACCCTGTTCCCCAGGGAGCCGGTGGGCCACACCGCAGAAACACAGGGAAGCCCCCTAATGTGGCTGCGGGGGGTGGGCAAGGCCTCCTTCCTCTTCAGCCCAGGGTCGGAGCCTTCCTAGCCCCTTGCCTGGCCACCAGCCCCAGCCAACCATCGAAATCCCTGCCACATTCTTGCTCTAGAGAGTGTGGGGATGGGGAGGTCCCTCCTGGCTGCTCCCCCAGACATCCAAGTCTGAGCCATCCCCCCACACCAGACGTGGGGGGTGCAGGGGGTCCTTCAGCCTACCTTGGGCCTGTGTGCTATTTTCCCGGTTCCTGAGGACTGGGAAGGTCCTCCAGCTGCTCCTTCTCCTAAGCCCAGCCCCCTTCTCAATGCTGGCCACTGGCCACTGGGATATGCGGTCCAGTCCGGGAGGAGGGGGTGCACATCATCCGGCCCAGGACGGCGTTATCTGGGTCGCAGGGCTGTGGGCCCCACCATGCCGCCCTGACATCAGACCGGGCGCGCACGGAGCAATTAAAAATAATGAATGATTTCCGAGTATCAGCCTGCTCCATGCAGTTTTAATCTAGTCCTCATTTCAATTGGAAGATGGACATTTAATTATCAGTATTATGAAGTTCATGATTTATATATTTCATCCAATTGGATAAAATTCCTGCCACCAGCTCGTCAATCTTATTGGGGGGGGGGGAAAGAAAAAAAAAAACACCAGCACCCTGTGCATTTTACAATGCGAGTTTCGGAAAACCTCCATCCCGCATGGCCCACCAATTATAGCAGATATTCCTTTGTGGTGATGACATTACTTTTATCTCTCGATGGGGGGAGGGAGGGTCGGCTCTCACCTGGAAAATGAAAACTAGACTCGGCTGTTAATGACCTTGAAGTCCTGCCCGTTGGGCTGCCCGAGCCCAGGCTGAGAGCAGCAGGGTTCTTCCCTGCAGAAGCTCTGGCGGTAAGGGGGGGGGGGGGGGGGGGGGAGGTACCTGCAGTCGGGCCTCCCAGGATTGTGTGCAGGCGTGCGTGCCTGGATGCCTGGGCTCACCCGCGGACCCCGGCGCCTGTCACTCGGGTGGTGGCGATGGTGTGACCAGCTGCAAGCGAGGGGCACGCCTGCCCTCCACAGCAGGTGCCGTTTTCCCATGGCTGCCTCCCCCCAACCCCCGCCCAGCCGCCCCGTGGACCTCCTGTGGCTTGCATGCCACCCACCTTGTACTTGGCCCCCTGCTGCGGCACCTCTGCCCCCTCCCTCGGCCCTCCCCTGCTGGCTGGAGAGATGATGGGGAGCTTCTGGGGGGACCAGTAGTTGCAGAGTTATGTGTGTGTTTGGGGGGTGGGGGTGCAAATCCCTGAATGGGATGGAACACTGCTAACAGCAGTGCTGGAGGCAGCGGGAGATGAAAGGCCTGT